GAGAAGCTTTGGAAGAAGCAAATATCGAATTAAAAAAACTTATATTTGTTTGTTTTCAAGAAGGATTTAGAGAATTTTCTGATAGAAATACATGTTTATTTAAGACAGCAATATATTTTTCTGTTATTGATGAACAAGTTTCAGAACAAACCGAACCAACAAAAAATGATTCATAGATTCCTTACGATTTAAAAGATATAACAAATCTTAAAGTAACAGGTTCAATTAAAAAAAGTTATAATCAAATTGCAGATGCTATTAATACTAAGTTTAGAAGTATTAGAAACAAGAGACATCGTAAACTTGAGCCTGTTGAAGAAATTGAAAATGGTATTGATACTAGTAGTATTACTGAAGAACATGTTGAAAGCTCTAATAATAATGAAGTATCTTATACTCGAAAAGAAGTTGAAAAAAAATTAGCAGTTGATGAAAGACATGAAAATTTTAGAAAAAAATAGAAATTTTTATTTTTATTTTATTTTATTATTTATTTTTTATTTAATAAATTTATTTTACTCAATTATAAATAACCAAATAGATTTTTAACATCATAAATAAAATGACAGAAAAAGAAAAAGAAATCTCAAAACAAATTGTAGATTCTTCTTGAGATATACAATTTGTTAATTCTTTTGAATGAATATTTATAATTTAATATATGTTTGAAATGAAAGAATGTAAAGGGAAAAAAATAAATATTATTGAATGGAAGGAAAAAAATTACAAATTTTTAACCAAAAAAGAACAAAGATATTTTAATAACTTTAAAAGTAAATAAATATTCTATTTAGTTATTATGACCGAATAGAATTTTATTCAAGTAATCCTTGATAATGAGCACTAAAAAAGAGGTAAGAAATTATTGAGTATTTTGTTTAGTTTCTTTATTAAAATGTAAGTTTACACTGCGAGCTTTTTTGCTAATAGCAAAACTGAATTGCTCGTGTAGATTTTGATAACAAAATTTCATGAAAAAAGTAGCATTAGACTTTGGTCATGAATAGTACTTAGTATTAGAAATATTGGTTGAAGCAATGATAACAATTTACTCATTATTTTTATTTTATTATTAGTTAACAACCAAACAAAAAGGAGATGAACTTGAATTTTTTCTTTTAAAAATTTTATGTAAAAATTCAATTAAATGTAATGCAACAAGAACAAGTTATACTGTTGATTCAACATTTATTCCTATTAGTGATGGCGGAATTGATTTATTTAGAAATTATAGATCGATTAATTACATTATGCAAGTTAAAAATAAAGCAGAAAAATATAAGGTTGGACCAAGTGATATTTGAGAATTTTCTGCGGTTTTAGCAAAACAGTCAGAAGGTACTGTAGGATTTTTCGTTACAAATACTACATATTCTTCAAATGCTATTAATGAAGCAAGTAATTCAAAACAACAAATTATTTTTTGTTCTAAAGAAAATGTAGTTGAAAAAGTTAAATCTACAAAATTACAATTAGAAAACAAAGAGTTGAAAAAAATTTCATTTGAATTAGATGATGTTATAATAGAAAATCTTGAAATTGATTCAGAGGATACTACTGTTTATTTATTTGGTATAAAAATTGAAGGAAACTGTAAAATTGGAGCCTTGAGAATTAAACATAGTAATCATAAATATAGGCCATATTAAATCTATTCTATTCAGTATGATTACCGAATAGAAATTTAATTTTGTAAAATGGATCGTAAAATTAAAATACATATCAATGAAATTGAAATTTCATTAAAAAAGTTAATTAGAAGACTTGAAAATATAAAAGAATATAATTTGAAACGAGAATTTTCTTCAGAAACAGAGCAAATTAAAATTGAAAATGAATATGAAAATATTTATAAAGATGTTCAAAATAAATATGCTTATAAAATATGATAAGAAGCATTAAGTCAATTAAAACAGAAATGTCCTGAACAAGTAATAATTACTTAAAGAAGGAAACAACAAACAAAAATTATTATTTTAACAGGTAATTAAACATTTTCAAAATTGTAAAGATAATTCTTAACAGATGATTTTAATTTAATAATTAACAAAACAGGTGCTATTGGTGTTGAAAAATCAACTTTTGAAGAAAAATTTAAAAGTTATTTGGAAGAAAAAAGATATAGAGTTTATCGACCACTTGAAGCATCTCTTTTTCTTGAAGATGAATTAAAACTTTTTTGCAAAGATCCAAAAAATAATGCTTTGTTTTTTCAATATGCAATTCTTAATTTTTACAAGAAGCAAACTGCGGAACTTAATGTGATTAGTTCATATGATTTTATAATACTAGATCAAACATATATTGATACCGAAGTTTTCACATTAATGAATACTCAAAACAAAGAAATTATCGAATTTTTGAAAAAGAAAAGACAAGAAATTAAAATAGAAAATATCAACAAGGTAATTTATTTGAAGCCTTCAGATGAAAATATGATTCAGAGACAAAGAAAAAGAGATCGAGAAGCAGAGACTTACAGTAACGAATATTTAATTGAGTTATCTAATTTCTATGAGAAATTAATTGATAAAATTTATCCATCTCATGTTAAATTTGAAAATAATTGTTCAGTTGAAGAGTATGAGAAAAATTATTTTGAAAAATTATTAACTGATATTATCAATTAATATTTTATTTTTATTTATATTATTTTTTATCTAGTCTTATTTTGATCTGATAGATTTTTTTATATATAAATTAAGATGTCTTCTAAATTAGTAAAAATAATTAAAAAAGAAGAAGAAAATCAAACAAAAAATGAAGTTTATATGATCATCTTGATAGTTTATTTTATGATAGAGTATTAGAGGGAATAGAAGGAGATAATGAAATTCTTAAAGTTGTTAATGAGTATTTAAAGTCTAAAAACTAAAAAAAAAAAATTAACAAACTTAGTAAAACTCAAAAAGAAGCAATAGTTTCTCTATTAATAGAAATCCTTTCAAAAGAATTTGATAGGATTGAGGAATATAAATCAGATGATCACGAAAATATTTTACAGACAAACATAAACTTTATAGAGATATTATTTTGACCAAATTAAATGAATTAAAAGAATTATCAATTAATATTAAATTTGACAAAATATTTGTAGTTGAATAATTTCTATTTAGTCAAAAGACCAAATAGAAATTTATTTATATAATTTATTAATGTCAAATATTTTTTATATATATAATTCATCAGCTTTATACAACAAATACTATTTACTTCAATTATACACAATCAATCCTGAAGGAAAAAGATTTATATTTAATATAAAGATTGAAGAAGTATTTTTCGATATCAAATTAACACAACAGAGTAAAAGTGAATTAAATTATATCAATGAATTTGATCCTTCAAGCTATGAAATTATTGAAAAACAACTATTTGATTCAATAACAAAACATAAATTCATTCATCTTTATTTTAAAAATCTAACCAAAAGAAAAGAAGCATTAAAGTCGATTGAAGAAAAAAAAAAAATAGATAAAAATATGAATCAAAAAGAATTCAATAAGTATTAGCTTCAATATGACACTTACTCAGATGATAACACTTGTCATTATCGAAAATTAGCACGTGAAAATAATTTTGAGTTGGTTGGATAGTATTGAATTAACAAACAAACAATATTCAACAACATAGAAATATCATTTGACGATCTTAAAAAAATAAAATATACAATACAAATTCTATTGATATTACTTTATTAAGATATAGAATGTAGTAGTATAAGAGGACCTAGATATTTTCCTGTTGAGGAAGAACAGCAAAATTATATTTATATAATTCAAATAGATTTTTGCTTTCTTTCTAAACCAACACCATTTAAACGTTTCTGTTTAACAAAAATTCCAATCAATCAAAATTTATTTAATAAAAAATATAGCAACTATCAAATTATCAATATTCAGTCTCAAGAAGAATTAATTATAATTTTTTTTGAATTGATCAAGAAATATTTACCTTCTTTTGAAATTGGATTCAATACTGAAGGATTTGATTAGAATTTCATATTGAAAAAAATATGTTTATTAAATATTGAAAAAGAAATCAGTCAAATACTAGAACAAGATATAATAAACAATATTAGAGAGACCAAGATAAAAGTATATGAAAAAAATATTGACGAAAAGATGCGAGAAAAATTTATAGAATTGAAAGTTCTAATTGAAATATCAAAGTAAATCTAACTGAAACAATAATCTGTGAATATTATCATTTACCAGGAACAATTTTTATTGATCTTTTAGTTTGGGCAAAAAAAACATTTTTTACAGAAATAAAAAATATCTTGGATGTTGTATTAAAATGTTGTGAATTATCAGAGAAAGTAGATTTACCATATATACCAGATTCATCAGAAGATTTACATTGTATGTTTGTTTATGTAAACGTGATTAAATTCAAGAATAATATTTAATTATTAACAAGATTAGCAGAACAATTATCAAACCTAACAAAGATCTCAGTAGAAAAATGTAAAGAAGCTATGATAATACAGGATCCTTTTATATTAGAAGAATATACTGTAGAATTAGCATATTATTATTCAGTTGATACTATATGATTACATGAGCTTATGATTAAACAAATATAATTGGTGATTATATACAATTTGCAACTTTAACTTGCATCACAATATCAAATATATTTACAAATAGTGTTGGTTGTTTGGTAAGAAATTTTTATAGAAGAAATGCGGCAAAACATGATATGTTAGTTTCTTCACGTAGAAAAGAAGACATAATAGAAGAAAAATATGATGGTAGTTTGGTTTTAAATCCAAGAAAAAATCTAAATAATCACCCTGTTGCTGATGTAGATTTTACATCTTATTATCCAAATACCATAATCATGAATAATATTTCTTTAGATACTTGTGTAAATATCGATTCATAAGAAGAAAATTTAAATGTAATAATCGATAATGAAATAGTCTATAGTAAATTTAGACAACATAATAATAAAGAAACAAAAATCGGGATTAATGCCATTAATGTCTAAAATGTTATTAGTAAATCGGGCTGTAGCAAAAAAAAATATAAAAAAAGCTAAAAACAAACAAGAATATTCTTATTATAATTCTTTACAAAATGCTCTCAAAACAATTACAAATTCTATCTACGGTGAAACTGGTTATCAATATTCTCTATTTTATCTTAAATATATCTCTTCTTCAGTCACAAGATTTGCACATTCAAATCTTAAAAGAATGATACAATATGCAGAACAAAAAGGTTATATAATCATTTATGGAGATACAGATTCATTTTTTTATATAATTCCAGAACATTTATTTCAACATCTGGATTTCAAATATAATACAAGAAATAAAAAAATATCACCAGATATTCGTAGAAAGATAAAACAACTATATTGGTATGAGATGGTAAAAAAAACTAGAATACAATCAACGATACTTGAAAAAGAAATAAACAAATATTTACAAGAGTTGACAGGTCAACTATATTTAAAGATGGCATATGAAAAAACAATGATGTCAGCTTTATATTTATATAAAAAACAATATTGTGGATGTAAGCATAGAGAAGATACTCAATTTATTGAATTTGATAAACCAATACTTTTATTAAAAGAACTCAAGATAGTAAAAAGAAACATATCAAAATTCTACAAGACAGTTGCTGAAGAATTAATCTGATCATCTTTGGACTATGAAAATAAACAGATTTCAGTTGATGAAGCTAGTTTAAAAGACAAAATATTAAAAGTTATTTCAAAATATATAGATAAAGACAATATTTTATTAGAATTATTTAAGCTTATTACAAAATATAATCTGACAACTAATCAATGTGTTAGTGCAAAAAATTTCTTTAATATGGAAGAACAAAGAGAAAAAGGAGATGAAACCAAAAAAAGAAACAAGATGATAATATAATACGTGACTAAAATAGCAGATAAGCAAAAAATAATAATCGAACTATGTTGTTTTTACTATTTAATAACACGTACACTAAATATAAAAAAAAACAGCAGATAAGATGCTTTCTTTTGATTACTTTGTAGCTAACAAAGTAGAAAAATCTTCGAATTGATATTATACACTATTTTAACAGCTTACGAGATATTTGTGCTTCATTATTAAACTGTGAAACAAAAAAAGTAGAAGAGCTAATTCAGGAAATATTTGAGGAAAATGAACGAAAAAAAACAACAGTTAATAAAACAATATTTTTCTATACAACCTAAAAAAGAAAAAAAGAAATTAATAAAAGTTGACAAATCTAATAAAAAAAAACAGCCTCTAATAACAGAATTTTTTTCATCAAAAAGAAAATTAGAAATTATCGAACCTGTAAATAAAAAACAAAAAAATAAATAATATCTATTCAGTATTTAACTGAATAGATTTTTATTTTTACAAATTTATTTTTACTCATGTCTAAAAAAAGAAAAGAAATTTATCTTGATTCACAACAAGTTAAAAAAATTAAACAAGAACACAATGAAGAAATTCTTTATAAAAAAACTCAAAAATCTTTATTTTACCTCTTGAAATTCTGTATATGATATACAGTTTTTTATTGATCCAAAAAGACCAATATCATTTTGGGAAAACATGCAGATTCTTTCATACATTATATTTAGGTATCATAAATGATTCAAATTACTATTAATTTTGTGAGCACAATAGATTCAGATTAATACAAAATCTACCAGAAGTTTACAATTTTAAATATATTAAAAAAAGAAAAAAACAGAATAGGTTTTTTTCGACAAAGCTTATCAATGTTGTGAAGAATATAAATATAATTAAATATTCTGTGATAGAGAAAATAATGTGTTCATTGTTGGCAAAGAGGAAAAAATTGTTTAAAATTAAAATCTGTAATTAGGAAAAAAATACTCAAAAATAATAAAGAACAACGATATATCAGTCTGATCAAATCTTATTAGTTAGGTTTTGGTAAACTTTATTTAAAGCATTATAAAAAAATTGATGATATTGGAAAACATAGATGTGACAAGTGCAATAAGCATCAATTCTGTGGTTCTATATTTGTCTTTAACAATAATTGTGGAATTCAAACTTGTATCAACAATACAGAATTGCCTCCTCTGATTAACATATTTACACTTAATTTTATGAATATTTATAATAATTTTATACATAACCATATATTATGTAAACAATGTTTTGATACATGTCCAAAAACATTTCAAGCTTCTTTATATAACTCTCAAGAGTGAAAAGCTAATTAATCAGAAAGAAAATGAAATATATAAAATTTGATCATAATATAGTCAGCATTACTGCTTATGATTTGATTCAAAAATATTATCAATCAAATTAACAATCAAAAAATATTATCAAATATCTGGAAAAAGTACCTCAGTTTGACAAAAAATGTTCAACGAATTTCTTTTAGTTCAAAAAAAGCGAAATGAGCTTTATATTCCTTCTTCTAATTCAAAATTTAATTATAAATTAAAAATAGAAACAATTGTTGGGTTTGTTATTCTAACAGAATCTATTATATTCAAGAAAATAAATTATATTATTGAGCATGTATTTTATAATTAATAACTAGTTAGTCATTTGAACTAACTAGGAATTTATTTGTGTAATCATGTCTAAAAGATCAAATTCAAATACAAATAATACTTCTTGTAA